TTTTCTTTAATAGAGGTAAGAATTCATTACTGCATTTTTCTATGTGAAGTATGCTACTAAATAATAGCTTGTACACTAATTAAAGCAAAAGTAATTGTGAGAACACATTGACATTGTTAAAGTAAATTAGTCAATTTGCTAATAGTTTCATTTAAAGTGACCCTAATTGTATTAATTGTGATACTAGCAAATTAAATTGAAGAGCATTAAACACATTCTTCTAATATTTCCTAGAGGAATGAATTTTCCCTTACATCAGCAGGAGGAAAATAATGATTACATGCCCTCCTTGCTCCAAATAAAACTTGCAGATGTACAAGTTCACGTGTGCAAGTGTACATATCCTCGTATGCACACCTCGGAACAACATGAAAGGTCTAGCTAGATTGCATACACTCATTATGTTTTAATAATATGGTTACATGCTACATAATGAATCATACAAAAAAATCTTCAGATACATGTGAAATATCATAGTATCATTTATTCCCTTACTAACAAAACCTATTTCACCATTAAACTGCTCAAACTAAGTTATTAAAATTTTGAGGAAATAAACATATTCCTTTGGAAGACAGCAATATGAAAACACATTTTAAAGATATTCTAAAATAATAACAGAGCCATCACTTAATGCCATAAAATCAGAAGGCTAAATGACCCCCACGAAGAACTTATAGGGTCCACCGACATAACAGTATATTAGATAACCATTTAATAATTCTCAGTTTATACAAAATGAATCTACCTTTCTTGGCCAGGTTTACAAGTACCCTAACCTAGCCTATTCTATGTCATTTTATTATAGTTAGCCTTGGTGCGAAGTAAATAGAAAGCTCCCTTCCTATCAAGTTTACTCCTTTCCTGGGGACTTACTTAGTAAAAACTCCTCCCACAGATACCATCTTTACATGCCTGGAATTCTGTCATTCACATAGAGCAAAATCTTCAGTTTCTTAGAGGACTCCTGACAATTTTAAATCCTCATTGCAATACTATCCTATTTTAATTGTTAGCACTGATTTTATCCCCTGTATTTCTGTACTTAATTTGTCAATGTTTATTATCTCTCGAAGAGTAAAATGTGACTTCTGATGGGCAACCAAGAGATCTACAGAGCTCGTTCTAGGTCAGCCAGGGTTACACAAAGAAACCCTGTCTGAAAAACCAACCTAACCAAACAAAACAAAACAAAACACCAAACCAACCAACCAATCAATCAAAGAAGCATGTCAATAGCCTGTAATGTTTGGGGTCTCTGGGGCATCTAAATTGAGAGGAGGTATACCACACCTGACACTGCTTTTTGTATTTACCAACCTCTGGCTTCAGGGAGGAACATTATCCCCTATAGGGTAACTCCCATGAAATTCTTTAAAATGATACGTAAAGCTCTTAAAGTAGCAGGTCTCCATGTGACTTTTTCTCTTTCCTCTACTTACAGAACCCTCCCGCACTTTTATCTTCCCTTTTCCTTTCATACACTCACATTCTACTATACTCTCCATTAAGATCACTCCCCACCAATGGCTCGAGTTTTCTGAATCCCACAGGTTAGAATTTTCTGTTTCTTGCATGTTAGAAACACAAACATAAAGATTTGATACTAATGTCCACATATGGGTGAGAACATGAGACCACTGTCTCTCTGGGTCTGGATTACATCATTCGGTAAGACACACAAGACCAACACTGTCAACATGGGAGGCAGCTAGCTGCTGAGAGAATCCCTTTTCTTTAAGGGCATGGACCTTGGTATGTCCACAAAGATGCAGCGGATGGCATCACATCCACAAGTTTATGAGCAGCACAAACTGACGAAAAAAAGAAAAAAAGACACAAAGTTGGGGGGTTGGAGAGGTGTAGTACTGGAGTTAGTGAGAGAAAAGAAGAGCTGAGTATGATCAAAACACATTGAATGAAATCCTCAAATAATAAAATTATATTTTTAAATGTAAATTTTATAAAAGGAACAATTTACTGTTCAATATGCTTTCCCTAGATACTAAACTTTCAATAAATATTTTATATAAATAAGCTAATACTAGGTACATGGTCTACATGCTTTCTGTTTAATAGTAAACATGACTTTAACCCCAACACTCAGCAGGAAGAAGCAGACATCTCACTGTGGGTTCAAGACCACTCACCTTGCCTACATAGTGAGTTCCTGTCCAGACAGGGCTATATAATGAGATTACAAGGCTCAGTTAAAAATAACCATTTTCAGGTGAGTTATCATTTAAAGTCATATGGTAAGGACAAATAATTTTGAAAACCAAAAAGAAAATCTATGTATTGTTTTCTGTGGAATTATGGGTATGTGAGCAATCATTATTCTTTGAGCAAAGACTCTTGAATTTAAGGCGGTAATTTAAACATATGAGAAAACATGCCAAGGCACAAATATCCCATAATATATTTCTATAGTATTTAACATTTAGAAAAATGAAATCAAAAGTGTAATTAATATGAAAATATGCTCTAAGGTGTCACACATATTTTGGGGCAGTTCTTTTCTTCTGCAGTGAAAATAAAATATGTAGCTTTCTTTTTCTAATCCCATTTTTTTTTGTTTTAAATTTTTTATTTTATTGAGGCTTTTGTGAATGGCATTTGTGATAGTTTGAAAAAAAAAATAGCCCCCAAAGTGGCACTATTTGGCAGTGTAGCCTGCTGGAGTAGGTATGGTCTTGTTGGAGGAAATGTTTTGCTGTAGAGGCAGGCTTTGATGTGTTATATATGCTCAAGAGGCCATTCAGTGTTGTGAAATATTATTTTAAGGTGTGTTGCTTTTATTTATGTTGAATTTGTTTAATTCTGTAATTTTTTTAATTTTTATTTTTTTATTTTTGCCAAATTTTAAAAGAATGCTCAAAATCATTTAACAGTACTGTTTCTTTACAAATGGACTCAGATTTGATAAAATAGAAGAATGCTTTACTAGTGGAATTGCTAACACGGTTGTTTTTAATTGCAGATGAGTCCAGGAAGAAAACTACTAATTCAAATGGGTGCTTTACCCATACAGTCTACTGCAGAAATGTGCAAAAACCTTCAAAATCCTTCAAAAATCTCAATGCAAGACACAAATTAAACTACAAAGGTGATGATTAATCAAGTAAATATGACAACCTCAAGAAAATATAATACATAATTTTTTGTGTGTGTGCAAAATGAAAACTTAAGATGATCAAATAGGTACTTGATGTACAATGTTTACATATACAACACACAAAACTCACTATGGTTAGTAACCTTTATGGCTTAGAAAAACAGATATTTACATATCTTTCTTTCCTTATGTGCCTGCATGTCTGTGTGTTTTGTATATATTTTTAACAGTTGACAGCTGTTTTAGAGCATACAGAGATGCCAAGCTGAATGAGGGTCTTGATTACTTCAAGATTAGCTATCTAAAGTTTCTATTCATTTTAAGTGTTGTTAGTTGGAAGAGTCATTAGTCACTTCCTTGTCTCATAGAACATCAGCATACATTTACATTGTTAATGAACATTTGGGGTAAATGAATTAATGGCACTTTAAAACATCAATTCAGTCCTAATAACTTGGTATGTCACAGAAATGTTAGGCTAGGGTATAAATGAAAATCCCTTTCAGTAAAGGTAACTAACTACACATTCTTTTAAACAATAAAAGATAAAATTAACTTAAAATGTTTTTAACCAGGTTAAAAAAAATGTTCAATATTTAATGAAATAGCCCAGAGAAAAATATTCACTTAAAACACAACAGAAAATGATCTTCTCAAACAAGCATATAAACAAGAAATATTCCGAAAAGTACTGGCAAAATTATTATGTATACTTCTAATAAAAATATATATTCCCTTTTAGAGTATTTATGGAATTACAAATACTTACAGGTATAAATTTAGGGAAACATCAGCATAAAAGCTTTGAGGCTTTCTAACATCATATTGACACACTTCCACTAAAACAGTACACATGAATTTTCATATTACCACAATGTAAACAGCAGTCTTTTTAGGTCCTGATGTAACAAAAAGTAAAAATGCAAAATAATTTTGAAGGGCAAAAGGTGCTATTTTTAGCAAAAAATATCAATGGCATTTATAGTGTGTATAAAGCATTAAAGAGTCTTACACACACACACACACACACACACACACACACACACACACCATCAAAACAGACAAATAAACAAGCTTCATAAAGAGTCTTTGTTCTATTGAAGTAACCATTATAGAAGTCAGTTTTTTAAAATTACCAAAATGTCATGGCAGATCTTAACAAATTGATTTAAAATAGATCTTATAACCTTGATATATACATTTCATGAGTGAAAAAATAAAATTAGTAACTTGAGCAAGGAACTATATTAAGTGTTCAATGAACTACTAAAGCATAAGAATAAGGCTTCAAAATTTTTATAAACTTATGTTCTTCAGCAAGTCTACCATTAGGTAAATATGGAAAAATAATATTTAATTCTGACACACACACACACACACACATATTTGAAGCACTTTAAATAGTAAAATATCAATAATGAACAACTTTCAATAATCTACAATTGAACAATTTTATTGCACATATCTATAAGAGTGTGATACAATTTCAATTTTTTACAAAAAAAAATATGTGAAACACTACCAAAATTTCACCTTAGAATTTAGCAGAATTTAATGTGTGTGTGAGAGGGGGTGGGGACAAGGGGTAGATTAACTGAAAAGTCAATACCAACAGTTTATGATTCTTCAAAACGTGTTTTACAAAGGGCATTTTGTATTTTAAAAAAATGTATATACTAAAGGCACTGTCAAGAATATTATAACTTTTGCTAATACACATTCTACCTTCAATAAAAGGGAACTATTTCTGATGTTTATTAGCATCAAGAAGATTCTATACATACCTAGCAAAATGTTCTGATTAACTTCATAGAAAGGATGACATTTATAGTGTGGACTGTTAAGTTCCCAGCATATGCAAATAGCATTTGCACACAAAACTTACCTCCAGACCTATGTGAATAGCGGGACAAGGGGTCAATGCCTACTTCCTGTTCTTCTGACTGCAGAGGGTGTCTGGTTTCAGATATGGACTGATACATTGCATAAAGAGGAGACAGTCACCAAAAGTAATTACCTAGGTGAAAATCCAAAAAAAAAAAAAGATTAATTTTTTCTTATGTAATTGGGAAGGAATACTAGGCAGAATGAAATTATTAAAAGAGCACGGTAGGCATCAACAAGTTTTCTGTAGGCTACAAGGGTCTATTAGTACACTTGTAAAAAAAGAACAAAAAAAAGAGTCAAAAAATTCCATGCCAACAATGCTTCCAAAAAAATCTAGACTTCGTTTATAACCTTTATTTTGATGTGGGCTCACATTTATTTTTAGTGAAATTTATATAAACAGCTTATCTGAAAGTTTTTGGAATCTCATATTGATAATATTTGTTTTAGAAAGCTATACACAGCGGGGTGGTAGTGGCACACACCTTTAATTCCAGCACTTGGAAGGCGGAGGCAGGCAGATCTCCGTGAGTTCAGGACCAGCCTGGACTACAAGAGCTAATTCTAGAAACCTGGTCTAAAAAAAAAAAAAAAAAAAAAAAACTATACACATTAATTAGGACATTCAAAATATAAAAAATATACCAACGAAAATTACTCATAATATTATTATTAAGAAAAAGCATTGCTAATATTGTATTGTATCATACTTAAGCATGTCTTTACTATGGACATTTAGAGTACATATTTTCCATGTGAACAACCAAGTAAATCATACTGATATATAGAACTATTAATAAATTACATAATTATTAAATTACCATGAGTGCTGTCCTTGTGTCTAAATTGCAATTTTTAATGGATCTCTATTACTACATTATATGTTTATCACAATTTATGTAACCAATTCATCAATTTATATAATACTTTCATCAATTTTTATTCAAAATTATGTAAGTATCACATATTTTAATTTCAAGGGCAGTAGGAGTATAAAATGAGAGAAACTGAGAAAATTTAGTGAGTAAGCAAGTCCAATGAAAATGATATCTAATAAATAAGAAAAAAGTTAATATGGCAAGATTTAATGTTTAAATATGGAGCAGGCTTCAGAGACACAACTACACAGATCCTTATTAACCTTTCTGCAATTTAAAATGAGCCTCTATTCTGTCTGTTTTAGCTCTAAAATCCTTACCTTGTAAAATATCCCTGTGGCTTTTCTGATTTTTGTCAGAACAATTCAGCTCCATTGCTCACCCACAATGACAATCCAGTGTCTATAAGCCCTACTCCCTTGCAATTATGCCTAAACCAAAACTAGTAGAAAGTTAGGGAAAACAGAAAACATGTAGTGAAAGTACTGGTTGATTCTGTGACCCTGACAAACTAAAGTCACTTGGAGGAGGGGCATCAATAATGGAGCAGTCTCAAAGACCATGAGAGCACACCTGAGGGGAGTTTACTTGATTGACTGGTATGGAAAGACTCACACATTTATGGGAGATTATGCCGACGGTTCTAGGGTGGAAACCAGAAAGCAAGCGGAGCAAGCCATGGGGGAGCAAGTCAGACATCAGTGTTCTTCCATACTCTGCTTCAGTTCCTGACTCTAGGTTTGTGTCTGGGCTCCTGCAGTGGCCTCCCTTGAGGAAGGAGTCTAACTGATAAGATGTTATAAACTCTTCCATCCCCAAACTGCTTTATGTCATATGTTATCACAGTGACAGAGAGGCAAACTAGATAGGGAACATGAAGCAGGATTTCCTAAAACCAAAAAAACAACCTCATGTATCTAAGATAGTTGTCACAGTTTACTAATGTATAGTCAAATCAATAAACTCATATAGAAGGAATTTAGGAGAATAGAAGCCAAAAACAGGATAACAAAATACAGAGGATGTTATAGTATAAAAGAGAATCAAATGGTTGAATTCAAGTTTACAAACAAATGAAGACAAAGTCCTCTACTGTAGACTAAAATATGACCAGCAGGTATTATTAGTTAACATCTAAAACCCCGAATATATGGGAAACATTGTGCCACTCTTGGTTCTCCCTGCAACCTAGTGACACCTCTTCATCTCTACTGATATTTCACCCGAGAAATCAAAGTAAACTTACTCAGCAACATAGTAAGTGTTAATTCATTCATTCATTAATTTGTGTATGCATGTGCTTTATCTGCATGCATACATGGGTACTGGATCCCCTGGCCCTGGAATTATAGAAGTTTGGGAGCATATGTGGGTACTGGGAATTGAATACCAGGCCTGAGGAAGAGTACCAGTGCTCTTAATCTCTGAGCCATCTCTCCAGCATCATATAGTATTAAAGCCAGAATTTGAACATACTCTGTTTTTTCCCCGAAGCTCAAGACAAACCAATTATAAAAGAAGGAGAGGAAGGAGCCGATGAATAACTGAAGCATCATCCTTCATCCTGGCTCTGTTTTGTCGAGACAGACAACAGTTATCCAGGATGGTGTGAGATCTTCTTACTTGCACATATTGGCAAATAATGCAAAGTTGTAAATAATCACTACCATGGAGTACATTATTTAAATAGATTTCAAATTTATATTTAGAACATGGGTATTTTAAAGCAAGATTCATATTCTCTTTCTATATTACTAAAAACAATAGAAGTAAAATGTGAACATGTCATCTATTCTGAGCTGTTAAACCTCCTCAATAGTCCATCTAAGCTGGCTCTCATAGTCATATTACTTCACCTTCTTATTTTTATAGAACTGTAAAACTACTCTTACAAACTTTAAAAATACAAATGAATGAATTTTAGGGATTTTAAACTTTCTGAAAAAATAGATATTAAACTGAGATCAAAGTTTGTTTTAGAAAGCAAAGTAGCTCAGATGGCATTGTGTTTGCCTAAAAGGTATGAAGCCCAGAGTTCAAATTCCAACACTAAACAAATTCAATGTGGTAGCTCATGCCCAGATTACAATAGATTCTGTTTCAGAAATAGGGGTCAGAAAGCATCAGCCGGGGTCCATAACAGTATGTTTCTTCTGTCCCAAATACGCAGGGGAAGGTTGCAGACCAGCACAGATAATATAGAGAGAGTCCTACATCTGAAAAACATGATATTCATACCTATTCAAGATGCTAAAAAACAATTAAAAATTTTTTCATTCCTTAGAGAAGGTTAAAATTCCAGAAATGGTTCAATAAAATTGGCCTCAGTTATAATCCTTTAGAAAAGTGATTTGCAACCTCTAAGTCTCGACTCCCAGTAGGGGTCACATATCACATTATCCTGCATATTTTATATTTACATTACAATTGATGACAGTACCAAAATCACAGTTATGAAGTAGCAATGTGGGTGTCACCACAGCATGAGGAACATGGAGAAAAAGCATTAGGAGGGTTGAGAATCAGGTCTAGAACTTGACAGATCTATGGTAATAGTGAAAAGTCAGAATCTAAAGTTAACTATTCATAAAGATAGTAATCTACAATCATTCTTTACAAATGAAGAATGCAATATATCATAATTTATGTTTATAGATAAAAACTGAGACACTGCAGAGTATTTATAATTAAACAGAGTAAACCTGCAGACTAATAATAAGTTACTTTCAAGTAATCTACTGATAAACAGTATAGATGATGTTCTTCATTTTGTTTTAATTAAAGATTTAAATACTAATCTAATTCAAAAGTAACTAAAAGTTGTTGCCTTCGTTTCTATTGCTTGTTTAAGATATAAAGGATGATTGTAGCTTTTAGAATAAAAAAGTTAAGAATATCTATTATTGCTACTGGGATAACCCTGTAAAAATGGAAATGTTGGTTTTAAATGTGAAATCAATTTACTAGGAATTTCCCAATTGGTGTTTCATTAAAGGTACCTGAAAAAGTTTATTATGAAGCAAAGTTTATTATTAAAGATCATTTAACAAATGTGTCTATATTCATTTAAATCATTGTCCTGGGTGAATTATTTATCAATAATATCAGACTATAAAAGAAAAAGCCCTTAAAATTGCTTATTTGTTTGATGGGTTTTAAAAAATTACATATTCAATGTTCCATTATACCTTAAATTTCATTTACAAATTCTGACATGAATATTATATTGCGACAACCTAATCATCTAGCTTCTTTGTGGAAGAAAATATGAATAGCTGAAAAACATGTCTCTTAGAAAATAAAAACTTAAGTCAGTAATTGATAGACTTTAGTTCCCTTAAAAGATGCTAATCAGGCTCTAAATTCTAATAAAAATATCCTTGGTTTTAAATAAGCCAAAGTAATCATGCTTTTATAAATTGTAGAAGCATAGCAACATACATTCTAATATCTCAGAAAAGATACATATTTTCTTTGTTATTATTTCTAGCTTACAATTTTTATTCATGTAAAACTCAAAATTAAAAACCTTGAGACTGGTATTACTATACGACTTTGAAAGCTATCCTAGTAAAATGAGCTGACAAATTAGGCTGTAATTCTCATTCATAATCTAAAATTAATCCGAAAGGCAGGTGTACTGTTTTTAGAAGTCTGGTTCTTACAATATTAAATCTAAATATGAAAGTATCTCTCTGAAAACTTTTATACACTAATATAAAACTTACAATACAATGGCTATTTCGAAAGTCATGATGGTTGGGATTTAAAGTATATTAAAAACATTACAGTATTTTTGTATAAAACAAACACTATTTTAATTAAAAGTTTCAGTTGATAGCAATGTCTCAGTACAATACTACCTGTAATATATTGAATAGCATGTGATTTTTTAAAATAGCATCATATAAACAGAAATTCAAATAAACTAATCTATTTTCACTGACTGAAATTTTGCTTGCTCTAGCTTGTATTCAGTTCTTCACTGCTTGTTATACTTAGTTATAATTAATATTCTGAATTATGTTATTCTAAAGACAAACATATTTTACGTGAACTTAAACATTATTCATTCATTTGAATTCCTGACTAATTCAAACTAAAAAATAATTAAATCAAGCACTGAAAACACAAAGTGGTATTCCTTCAAGAAAAAAGAAAAACCCACAAGAGATTCAACAAAATACCTCAAAATTTTACAACAAACAGGAAGAAGACATCAAAAATAAGTATGTGTCATAGGTAGCGTATC